GAAAATACTACTTCGTATGGCCTCGGCAATATTACTTTTGCCTGCGTAGAACCCGTACATGGGTTTTGCTGACTTCCGCGCAGCCTTCACTCCGGAGTCACCGGCCGCGTTCACTGTGACTCCGACGGAAGGATCTCTGCGCCAAAGGGAAGACACGATGTTCACGGTCAAGTTCAAGGCGCAAAAACCCGGTACCGTCGAAGGATACTTGGTGATTGAGACGGAAGACTTCAAAAAGACATGGCACGTCATTGGACGAACAGGATAAACGGTGACTCTAGGCAGATCCTTCATAAATGCAGTCGTCGTGTCAGTAAAGAACAAAATACGAGAGACACTATCACAAATTTTTGTTTGTGGAATAGACATTTATTTCCATTGGATTGCTATGATGAAATCGTCCCTTCCCAATACTTTTTTACAATATGCTGCAGTATCAGTTTMATTTGGTGAGCATTAAACCTGTCAAAAACTATTGCGGATTCTAGCTGCAAGTAATAATATCTCCTCCAATAGAAGTCCGATTTTAACGTTTGATGTCACTGGATTATYGTCAATAGTACTGGTATGTTATGATACTAGGTGTCCGTTGATTTGAGTTTACTTTGTTTAAAATAATATAAGCCTTTTGTGCTGGGGAAAGTGGTTCTGTAAAATGAAGTGTTGAGTCATTAGAGATACAAAGTACAATTCAAGTGCTGGCAAGTTAGAGGCAATTCCACCAGTACAAATACTGGTAAAAAATTTTAGCTCATTTTTACAGGTAAAACTTCTTGTTATATTGACTGTCAATGGAATGAAAGCCGTTAAAAATTGTCACTCAACTTCTGAAAAATTCTGGCTTGGAGAATTGTGGAGAATGKCCGAGGGCTGCGCCAGGATTTATTCAGAAACTGAACCCATTTCACCCATTGCTTTGCCCAATTTTTTCAGATTTTGAATGCCATTATTTTAAAACTGGGCTTTCCCATATCATTGTCCTCTGTATCAGCATATTCTGTATCAGCATCCTCCTCTGTATCAGTGTCATTCTTATCAGTAGTGTCCTCAGTATCACCATACTCCTCAGTATCASCATAATCTKTATCAGTGTACTCCTACATATCAGCAGTTCTCTTGTATCAGCAACTCATATCAGCGTACTCCTCCATATTACCAATCATTTCACCTTCCTCTCAAGCCAAAGCAACAAAAGATGATATTGCGTCTCCCAGTGCAACTATAATAGACTGCTGCTGAAGCAAACAAGTTCTCAGCAGCAAGGGTTGT